TTGCGTACTCCTCCTCAGTCATCAGACCTCAATCCAATCGAACATTTGTGGGCAAAATTGGAGAAACGAATTCGAAAACACAATATTACGTCGCGAAATAAGCTAATTAGTAAATTGCAGGAAGAATGGGTGAAATTTACGTCGGATGACACTGAAAAACTAGTTCAGTCAATGCCCAGACGACTGCAAGCTGTTTTGAAGAATAAAGGATATCCTACAAAGTATTGAAGTAATGTAAAAAACTTATATTTTGCTTTTTTTTTTTTTTTGAAAGTGTACGTAGACTTATTGGAGAGAATTTCTGAGTTTTTTTGACAAAATATATTTTTGAAAAAATGTAAAAAGTATTACACTGATATTATTTACTTTTTATTTAAGCTTACAATTTTATCTAATAGAAGAAAAAAAATGCAATGATTAAAATACATTTTTCTATGCTTTAAGTGTTTTTTTAATTTAAAATTTGGTCTGTACGCAGACTTTTGTGACTAACTGTATCTCCGACATCACAAAATGTCAAATTAGTTTTCTTTCTCTTTAAATTAAGGCTATTCGCACAGTCTGACGTCATATAATTATTCATGGCTCCTTGAATTCCACCACTCGCACTGTGTATTTATTCCCTCTTTCATCTTTCAATAAACGATTTACAGTACTCAGTAAAACGTTTTTTGCCTGATTTATTACTCGCGAAGAGAAGAGCACGGAATTATTGTTTTGACCAGATGAAGTGGAGATAGCTGTCTGAAATACCGGGGCTTGTGTCAATAAACCATTTAAAAAGTCATTTTCTTTTACAGTGAGGAATGAAGTTTGTAGACACATTAGGTTATTCCGAAGCAGGAGAGACGAAAAGTGAGCAATGCTTCGCCGGGACTCGAGCCACGGACCTCTTGAATACGCGCCGAGTGTGCTGACCACTACACCACGAAGGCTCGCTAAGAAGGCGGAAGAAATGTCTTATATACTCCTCCTTTTAAAGGGCGACTGGGATTAGGGGATCCAATCGCCAAATCCTGGTGGTGGAGAATCATTCACCAACTGTTTTTTATTTCGGACACCACTGTAGAGACATTAGATTATTTCAAAGCAGGAGTCATGAAAAATGAAATTTTGTGGGACCCCAAAGGTCTTGCGCAAATCCGACACACGCGTGAGTGAAGCTGTCAATTTTTTCACTTGTAATGTAATATACTCTTGCAGTTTTAGGTCATTAACTTTAATTTCTAATTTTAAGACACAAAACAATGTGAAAATTTTAAATAAATAACAGACGAAATGACAGCATCACGTGCAAAGCAGGAAAATGAACATTTATATTATAAAAAGAATGTGTCGAAACGTTTTCGTTTTTTCTTTGTCTGTATTGTCTTATCTTTATCTATTTTCAGATACATTGTGTAAAAATATTTGATAATTTTAAAATTATTATGATATGTTAAAGAAATATCAAAATTGCTAAAATATTTGGCGACCCCCTGCTGCAGGTTCCTCGACCTCCAAGGGGATCGCTACCCACAGTTTAAGAAGCCTTGACCCAGACAATGAAAGCAGTAATTATTTTAATTATGTCTACTCTTTCAGAAACAGGCGACGTCATATAATTTCTACATTTATTTAAGGGGTGGCTTTCGAAGCAAATAATACACTCTTGCAATCAACTAGAAATATCCTAGGTACATTTCTCGAATTTGAGAATTTTCATTACTATCCGTCAATGGTTTTTCCCGTGACACAAAAAACAGATCTGCTTCTTATCTTGAAGTTACGAGATCAAACCAAAAATCTGATTTTTTAATGCTGATATGGAACGCGGTTTCTTTATCTAATGTTTGAAAGAATTTGTCTAATAAAATTAATTGCTTTAGTTTCTCAAAATCAGTCACTTCCCTTAATTTTAAATAGTAATTAAAGCTACCCGGCGATGCAAATTGCACGTGTGTTTCATTTGCTGGCTTGGTAGTTTTTTTGAATTGCCGTAAACACAAACGAGGCTCTGACTCCAATTTTCGTAATAGAATTTCCTTTACTTTAATCGCTCAACTTATTATCACTTATGTAAGTAATTACGTCTCACCTAGTAAATTCAAAAGAATCTCTGCCTTAAATTTATCGGTTACGTTTTTCGTTACGTAGGATCTTTTCAAAGAGGCAAAAAAAAGAGACTCCACCTTCTGGCCGACTGACGAATTCTCTTTGCCAAAGTTTTTTATACTATTTATTAGCGATTTCAGAGAATCATTTTTCTCAACTTTATTTTCTGAATCGTCTTCGTTAGTTTTTGGAATTGTTCGCATGCGCAACAATTCTAATTCAGCTTTCTCTCTCTCTCTAATTTAATTTGTTCTAGTTGCCATTCTAATTGTTTATTTTTCTCGAATGTGTCTACTTTCCGATCCTCGATTATCCTCTCTATGAGATCAAATACAAATTCAGATTCTTCTTTGAATTTCTCAGTATTCTTTATAATATTAATCAAATTTGTAATCGTCATTCTATATGTTACCACGTCTCCTAACTCTGTTAGCAGCAAAGCTTCAAATCAAAGCTTCTCGCGTTTTTAAACATTTTGAAAACAGAATTCAATTGCAAAACTCAACTCAGCTAACTCTTAATTCAATAAAAAATAATAATACAAATTATCTTATGAAGGTACATGACCAGCAGAGCTCGTGCATCTACTTTATTACTGCTTGCTAATTCAGTAGTACATCTTCAGAACGTTTTACTTTATGGTACGCATCGTCGTAGAATATCACAAAAACGAAAGTTGAATTTTCACATCTCATAATTATCCATATTGCGCTTAATAACTTCTCCGATCTCATAGAACCACAAGTTGATCATTGACACTTGTTACAAGAATTTCAGTGGACTGTATTTAAAAAGAAACATTTTATTTAACTTCATTATGAAAACACTCACGACACTTTTTAACTCTAATCTTTCAAACTGTTAGAATCCAAAATCTAAAAATAAAACGTCGTCTGTGATTTCCATGGCAACTTAAATCATTTTCTTTTTCTTGATAGCGCTTATAATTAGGTACCGAACACTATGCTTTTTCCATGATCAGTGGAAAGTCTTCTCTAATTACATTAGAAAAAAAAATTAGGTAATTCGATTTTATCAAGTTCAAGATTACAAAAATTAAGTGGTAAATATTATTGTTTAATTAAATAAAGTTTATTGTATTATTAATATTAAAATCACGCGTCGTTTCATTTCTATTTACAGAGCTTCTTTGTGAAACACTTTCTCAAATACGAGATCATTTTCAGCTTCTGCTGCGTCTTTTAAATCAAAAATCATAGTGACTCTATAATTAATGCTCTGTTTTGTTCATTTAAAATTAGAGAACCATTTATTTTAATTGTCATTTTATTTAATTTCCGTATATTTAACTTTCTATGAGGATTTCTTAAACGGATTTAAATAAAGGGTGTTGTTAATATTCTTGAAAACTTGTTTTCAAGAATTTCTTTGATTTTTTTACCGTTGGATAGAAAAAGAAGGCTAACATGGAAAGAATGATTAGCAGCTGTTTCCAATTCGGGCTAAATCTGGAATAAAATATCAAAGCTTATTTGAGATAAGGCTGTTTTGGCCTATCACAAAAATAGTCATCGTGAAAGAGGAAAAAAAACCTGCAGCAATTTGAATTTAATGAGTTCGGCTAGCATCATAGAAATGTTAAATGTTTTTAATTAAAAACTCATCATTGAAATAAGTTTTTATTTAAATCCATCAGATTAAAAATTAGAAAAAATATTCTTAAGAACTGCGTTTATTGCTTTTAAAACATTTGATTTATTAATCAGTGACACACAGATTAAATTTGACACTTTATTGCAATGGTAGCACGCTGACGCGTGTAAGATAAAACTATTTGATTTCGGGCAGTACCAACGCAATGTTTTTAAATATCCGAGTTTGGTTATTTAATATAGAATCTGTTTTTTTTTATTATTATTATTTCATGCTTTGTGCGATATTAACGAAATTTTATAGCTAAAAGGAAAGGTGTTGCTACTGCACGAAATAAAATATTTTTAGCTTTCATGCGCCAAGTTAATGTTGTTATTCGACAAAGGATAAACTATTCATTTTTCTTTCAAATTTGATCTTTTAATTTCTAATTAAAAATAATCTTAATAATTAATTAGCAACCTCGGCGATTTAGAACAAATAAACGCAGATCTCTTTCTCTGTCCAAAGCCATAAAATAGCAGTAGCTAATTAAAATCTTAATTAATGTTATTTATTAATCATTACATATTTTCAGAGCCGGAACAAGAGTGGGGCACTTGCCTGAGATGAATCACTAGAAGGAGCGCCAAATTGGCCACACGAAATCGAAAATTTATTATGTTTTTTAATTTGTCAGTTATTATTAGGGGAAATAAGCTTCCGCAAACTTAAATTAACATGTAGAGACATTAGGTTACTTCGAAGGAAGAGAGATGAAAAACATGCAACGCCTTCGCCGGGAATCCAGCCACGGACCTCTGGAATACCGGCCCAGCGTGCAGAACCACTACACCACGAAGACATGATAGGAAGACGGGAGAAATACCTTATAAACAAAAGAATAGGAAGAATTGCAAGAAAATCTAGAAATTAATGCAATATGCATTTCGATGTTATTTCTTATTTACCAAAAAAGAATTTTTTACCATTTTCATTTAAAAGTTATAAATAATTGACTATATTATTTTTCTGAATTTATAAAGCTACGATTAAAAAATACTTTAAGGATTAGGGTATATCTAGACTAAAAGAATTATGATATTTTGATTTAATACATTTACTTTTAAGACACAATAACACGCTGAACAAATACTAATTCAGAAGTCAAACAACAAAAATCAGCGGAACGCGATTGAACGCGGAATTAAGGCAAAAATAATCCCGCTTTCGACAAGGGTTTATAGTAATGTCAATAATATTTTCGTGAATAAGATTAAAAATTAATTTTAATAACTCTGTCTTTGTTTCAGCCTCATCTGGTCGAAAAACGTCATTTCAAAAACAGCAGAAATCATCTTGTCCTGAAAAATCGAATTCCTCATTTCAAGAAAGAGTAAACGATACTTTAAAAGTAAGTACCTTTATGAGTATCATTAGTCATAGTATGACAGGTGATGACAATTAATTTGCCTTGATCATTTTCTCCGACCGATGCAACCTCGTTTAGATGCTAATTGGCCTGATTGGCCATTTGAAGATGCAATAACATTCTCCCAGTGTTTTCATCTCAAAAAGGATTTTTCGCGCCTAATTTTCTTCCTAAATTTTTAGATTGCCTGCGGATGCTCTGTCTTAAACTCGGTCAAGGAAAGCAGGAATATGCATTCGACAGAAAGGGGATGCGAAGGAATGGGCAATAGGAACCTGTTTATGATTTGGGTGAATATTCATTTTTTTTTTAATCGTTCGAAGCCGTGGGATGTTACAAATGCAGGTTTCGAAAACGCGAGGCGAAGAAAAACAGAAAGGAAACTCGAGATTGGAAAAGAACTTGGAATTCGGTCGAGTGACGAATAGAATTCAAGCGTCTGACAAGTATTTTCTTATCCATAATATGTTGTCTCTAAGCGAAACTATGGTGCGAGAAGTTGAATATTTTTTAACGCTGTGAAAATATCTTAATGTAGGAAGTTCTTTTATGCCAAATGTTAAAAATGTTATATTACTATATCCAACAGAGCTATCCCGTTCATTAAAAATCAAACTTTTCAATCTGTAATTTTTTTTCCGAAAGCTTGTTATGTTCATGAAATTAAAGATTAATAAAAAAATTTGAAAGCTTTCCGATTTTACATTATGCCCAAAGGTGCGTTTTTTTTAACGTTTCGTGTGTTACCTTTATTAATTAAATATCACGTTCTTCGCACTTAAACCATAAAATTCAATTCAACGGCAATATCGCAAAATAATTTCAAAATGAGCATATCTTTAGAATTTCCGATACACAGTTCCGCGCACTGGAGATAAAAAGTTATTTTTTTCCCCGTAGAGTGTTGCCATTGCTCGCTTTTAAATCGTTGGGTTCGTTAATCAAAAACTCGTTAAAGTTTAACAGAATGTGAAATCGATAATAAAAAAATCCAAATTAAGGATTCCAGATGCCTATATTTGGTGGATGATTACGTTATTCAAAATTGGACGGCTTTAGGTACCGTTCTTTTACCACAATGCGAGAAACATAGATACATTTATGCAGATTCTTCATTATTTAATTTCTTTGCGATACTATTGTGTGGCAACAATTTGAAAAGTGATTCGCCGTTTATAGTGAATCAACGCAAAATGGCAAAACAAAATTAATAGCCCTTCAGGGCTAACAATAATAATGGATAGGTAATAAAACATAAAACTATATGAACTATTTTTTTCCTAAACTTGACTTCCAGTTCTTAGTCTAATTGGGTTATAGTTGAGTTATTTACGTGCAGTTATTGGTGCTACGGTTATGATGTATGCTGTACAGTATATTATGGAGGAAAGTGTAAGGGGGTCCTGGTTTGTTACATTTATGTTTAATTATTAGTCCAAAGGGGCAATTTTCCCTGAAGAACTAATTTTTGTGTTTTGGCATTTTGCGTTAGTTCACTATAAATGCCCGATTCACTTTTCAAATTGTTGCCACCCAATATTATCGGCCTGTATTATATTTAAAGAAATTAAATAATGAAGAATCTGCATAAATGTATGTGTGTTTCTCGCATTGTGATAAAACAACGGTACCTAGAGCCATCCAATTTTGAATAACGTACGTTTCCTCCGGAATATGGGCCTTCGGAAGCCTGAATTTGGAATTTGTTTATTACCTATTTCGTATTTTATGAAACTTTAACGAATGTTTGATTAACAAACTGAACGATTTAAAAGCGAGCAACTCTCTACGGGGGAAAAAAAAAAGAAAAGAAAACTTTTTATCTCTATCGCGCATAACTGTGCATCGGAAATTCTAAATATATGATCATTTGAAAATTATTTTGCGATATTGTTCTTGAACTGAATTTTATGGTTTAAGTGCGAAGAACGTGATATTTAATAAATAAAGGTAACACACAAAATGTTAAAAAAACCCTCCTTTGGGCGTAATTTAAAATCTGAAGCCTTTCAGATTTTTTTTTTTTTTTTTTTTAGTATTATTATAATTTTTAATTTTACGAATATAAACAAATTTTCAACAATTTTAAGAAATGGGACGGCAGGGCTTCATGTATTAATGCAATTTTTTTAATATGTGGCATTAAATTGCTTAATTCGTAAATAACCTCGTTCAAAAATATGCATGTTTCTTTCTTTCCCTTCTTAGTTTTGCATTTTTTGTATTTTTCGTTTGTTTTTCCTTCGTGTTCTTGTTTTCCACTTTTTTATATTGCATTTATTACGTAAAAAATGTATACGTTTTTAAAAACATTGAATCTTAAAGTATATTAAATAATTTTATATTTATTTTATATTACTCGACACAGCTTTATATCAAATTCATTATCAGTTTTTTTTTTTTTTTTTTTTTTTTTTTGTAATCAGTGGGATCTCGATTACGCCGATCCATTGCCGGTGCACAGTCGGCTGTCTAACCCTTTCAAATTCCAACGAGCGTCAGGGTTTCAACACTAACCGCTTTGGGTCACTCTTTGTCTTGAGGAGAAATGAGGATGAATTAAATTAAAATTTAAAATTTATATTTATATTTGGTTGTGTTTGGTTGGTCAGCTGAAGGATTCCATTTCTTAAATGCGCCGACCAGTCGTTATGGTGGTCAGGGAAGCTGACAGCGATGCCGAAGGTTTCGAATCCCGGAGAAGGCAGGGTTGTAACTGTCCGTTCCTTCATAGGAAAGGCGATGGTGGCGCACCTGTTAGGTGCCTCCATAATAAAGAGACCACCACATTCAGCCTTGTTACATAGACTGGGTTACATTTGTAATTTTTCACAATCTGCCACTAAGGGCACATTTCTTAAATGCAAAGAATAAACTAGAAATGATTGCCAAATAATAAAAATATTTTAAATCGTAGACTAAAAATGCTGGGAAGGACGCACAAAGGAGAGATAGAAGTGTGTAGCGGCATTTCAACAGATTTTTCTATTTTCTTGCATCGAGAACTGTGGAAACTTTCTCGTTCGAGTGCTGCCAAGAAATCGATTTTGGTAAATGAGTCAATTTTAAAGCAAAACAACAAGATGTAAAATTCAATAAAAGGAAAGCTTTTGGAATATTTATTTATTTATTTAATTTTTTTAAATGGTGGCAAATGCAAGGTATCTTTCCCCGAGCCTGGCTTCTATTCGCTTCTCATCTTGGAGACAAGGAACTGTAAATCACTTTGCAATGAACAATATCTTTTTTTTAACTCTTAAAACCTCGTAGCGACATGAAACAATCCATACGGAAGATTAAGGCTTCAGAAGGTTATACAATGTGCAAAACCTGTTTTTCAAACTCCCCCTCTGTGGTTGATATTTTAAAAATCTTTTTTTTTTTTTTTTTTCCTTCCCATTGTGGCTCGTGATAGATAGGTCAATAAACTCCCATGAATGGTTCATTATGTTCCTTTCTTTTCAAGACTTGAGGCCTTTATGAGCTATTGATTAGTTTTCAACCAGGCAGTCAGTGGTAAGTGCTTAATTTAGCCCAGCTTGTTAACAACGCTAGGAATGTGTTTTGTGCAAATTGCTGAGTACTGTTGTTTATTTAAAAACAGCTTCTTCGTTCCAGACCTAGCACATTCATTTACTTCCATTTTGAAATGATCTTTAATAGAACAACCAGGAGCGGATGGCATTGGAAAAGGGAACTCGAGAAAAGATAGTGGCACCTTTTTCGAGTTCATGGCACTTCACCAAGACCGAAGTTTCCATGGCACAAAGGTGGTGGCACATTTCCCGCGTCGGCACCCCTCGCCAAGGGTGCACTGACGTGGGATATCTAAAATATAACATTTTTCACACAAAAAGTTCAATATAAAAACGCAGGCAGAAACGAAAGAAAACACAATTTACCCCTGAAACACAAAGCGTGCAAAACTCTCTCAGAAGCTATATTGTTATACACAAACCGCTCGTAAAATTTAAAAGATTTTAATGTTCGCTTGCAAGACCGTAAACATTTCAGTGCCTCAGCGCAGCCAGCTCAGAGAACCATTGAACTGCTCTCTTGCATTGCTGAAGATCGCATTTACCTTTCATCCAGTGACACTAGAGAAATGGATCATATGCAACTGCGTCCGATTGACATCAAGTAAGGGCAAAACTATGAGGAACCTCTGCAACAATATTGGCTTAGACCATCCCTCTCCAAGACGCAAATGGGCTCAGATCTAAGGGCACAGATGGGTCGGTACTCTTATGAAATTTTTCACCATGGGTGGAAACCAGTCCTCGTCTAGAATGCTATGACACCCAAGTGAGGATCTTCATTTTGCACGAACAGTTGCTTACTAGCGTAAAAAAAGGCGACACCTTTATAACTTATTGTTACGAAATGTCCAAGCGCAGTAAGAGGGCTTCCCCGCAAAGCAGTTTTAGGGTTGCCATAAAATGACAAGGGAAGGTAGGGTTGTCACATTTGGCGAGAAATCGCCCATTTGGTGACAAAATTGGCAATATACCATGGACGGTTGGAGAACCTTCTGGATCGAATTCTTACCGGCTTAGCCCAGAATGCTCTCGAACACCAGTCAAAAGCTATATAAACCCTGCTGGTACGCGGAGAGTTAGTTACGAGTGAGTGTGGCCCTCGCCTAGAGTGCGAGTGACTGCCTCGTCCAGAATGAGAGATAGTTAGTATCGAGTTGGTGTCTCGTCTAGCGAATCAATCCCTGCGGAGTCGATCGAGTTGACAGCCGGGCAACGAGTGCCGAGTGTTTCGTCGAGTGCACCGAAGGAGTCTGTTAGGCCCATATCACACGAACAACTGTTTCGGACAATTTTACTGCCTGGTTTACTATTGAAAGAAAGACGCGCGACTTTTTCCTTCATTTCCAAAAAAATTGCAGGTTGTTCGTTTTCAACCAATCAGCTATCAGCTTTGAATGCTATCAGCTTGATTGTAATGGGGAACCAGTTTCCCCTGCGTTAACC